ATGTCCAAGGGTGCTCCAAACCCTGTCCAGGCTGGCCTTGGGCACTGCCAGGGATGGATGGAGGATGATGGATGGATGGAGGATGATGGATGATGGATGGATGGATGGATCCATGGATTGATGGATGGTTGGAGAGGGAAGCACTGAGGGACCTTTGGCCACATTTGGGCTTTGGGGACAGGGACAGAGGATGGATTTCTCCAGAGGAACTCTGGGAACTGCCAGGGCAGCCACACCAGGCTCCAGTGGCTCTTCAGGAGCAGGTGGGAAGGAGACCTTCAGGAACTGTCCATCCATACGAGCAAAGCCATTTCAATTTGCCCCTGCTGAGGCTGCCCTGTGCCCCGGGCACCGAGCGTTCCCTGCACTGCTGGAGTGTGCAAAACTCCCCGTGGGCACCTCCCAGAACCCCCAGCTCCCTCAGAACCGAGCCTGGCGGAGCAGGAAAGCACGAGGCTGTTTCCAAATATTTCCGAGGAATTTTCCCTGCAGGAAGGTGCCCGGGTGCTGCCAGCCGTGACCCCGGCGTGTCCCTGAGGCTGATCCTGGCCCGAGTGCCACGGACAGGGGGGGCTGTGCCTGCCTGGGAATGCTGGAGACCCCTGGACAGACACGGACAGCCCGGAACAGTCCTGGACCCCGGGGGGACGGGGCTGCAGGAGCTTCCCGGGATCAGAGGGGAGGATTTTGGGATGCAGGAGCTCCCTGGGGATCAGAGGGGAGGATTTTGGGGTGCAGGTGCTTCCCAGAGGATGAGAGGGGTTTTTTTGGGATCACAGGGCTGCAGGAGCTTCCCGGGATCAGAGGGGAGGATTTTGGGGTGCAGGTGCTTCCCAGAGGATGAGAGGGGTTTTTTTGGGATCACAGGGCTGCAGGAGCTTCCCAGGAGTCAGAGCAGATTTTTTGGGATGCAGGAGCTTCCCAGGAGTGAGAACAGATTTTTGGGATGCAGGAGCTCCCCGCGGGATCAGAGGGGGTTTTTGGGAGCCCAGGGAAGCGGAGCCGGGGCGGGGGCGCAGCTCAGCCCGGAGCCCGAGCACTCCCCCGGTCTGGCTTTCCCGGGCAGGCGCCTCAGGAAACTTCTCCGGCTCCGATTGCTGCGCTCCACCTTTTATTCTAATCGATTCCGCATCGCCATAGGAACCCGCTCGGGCGGCAGCGAGCGGGGCCCGGGGATGGCCGGGGATGGAGCCGGGAGCCCGGGGCAGGCAGGTACCGCATCCCGGGGGGCTGAGCCGGCGGCCCGGGACCCCCAGCCCGCACTGCTGGGTGGGCTCGGGGCTGGCAGCCGGGGAATGCTCCAGCCGCGCTGCCCAGGAGGGTGGGGAGGGATTTGGGGTGGGAGCAGCCTTGGATGGGGTTGGGAGGAGGGTCCTTGGCGGGGTCAGGGGTCTCAGAGCTGGGATTTGGGGAAATGCGTCCCTGCTGGGCTGGGGCTGGGCTGGGGCTGGGCTGAGCCTCCCCCGGGGCTGCTCCTGGACGGGATGGGACATCCCAGACGCTCCGTGGGGCTGATCCTCTCGGATCTCCCTGGATCCAGGCTCCGTCTGCCCCACACCGCTGGATCCAGGCCGGATTCCAGCCGGGGAGAGGGGCTGGAGCCCCCCCGGCATCCACGGGCTGCTCCAGCAGGGAATGCCCCGGCTGGGGGAGAGCCTGGGAGCAGCTTTGGGACCAGAGGGGACTCCGGACATCCCGGGAATGGTTTGGGATGAGAGGGGACTCCGGACATCCCGGGAATGCTGACAAGGCTCAGGATCCTCCCTGGGCACGTCCAGGGGTGGGAAGAAGGGTCTGGCTCTGGCAGGGAAAAACAGGGAAGCTGGGAAGGGGGGCTGGATCCCAGTGGATCCCAGTGATCCCAGTGGATTCCTGGCATGGGGACAACTGTAGTCCTGCTGGTCCCGGGACAGGGCAGAGGAGAAGCCCTTGGGGCAGCCACAGGCAGGAGCAGATTTCAGGGATAAACACAGCTAAACAGGGATGAAATCAGGATAGAATCAGGATAAAATCAGGATAGAATCAGGATAGAATCAGGATAGAATCAGGATAAGATCAGGATAAAATAAGAATAAAATCAGGATAGAATCAGGATAGAATCAGGATAGAATCAGGATAAAATCAGGATAGAATCAGGATAGAATCAGGATAAAATCAGGATAAAATCAGGATAAAATCAGGATTGTCCCAACCCCACAAAACGGGGGAGCAGCCCTGTGCTCTCCAGGAGCTCACACCCTGCTTTGACTGGGGCACAAACCCCCGGGGCTGGGGCCAGCTCCGTGCCCCGGGCTTGGATCCTGCTGGAAATTCAGTTTTCCCTGGCAGAGCCCTGGATGTGCTCCAGAGGCAGCCAGGCCCCATCCCAGCAGCAGCATTTACTGAAAAAGGCAATGCAGGGATTCCAGGAGCTCCGGGGGGAGCACCGGGGTGTCCAGAGGGGCACGGAGCTGCCTCTGTCCCTCTGTCCCTCTGGACACGGCTGGGACACGCTGGGACACACTGGGACACGCTGGGACACGGCTGGGACACGCTGGGACACGGCTGGGACACACTGGGACACGCTGGGACACCAGGAGGTGAAGGGAAGGAGGGAGGGACCCCCATGGCCCTGCCAGTGAAGCCTTTCCCCACCTTTGAGTAGCTCAGGCACCAAAAATCCCAGGAAAAAAAAAACGCTCCAGGGAGATTTTGCAATGCTTCTGAGCAAGATGAGGGTGGGGGAATGGCTTTGAGGGAAAAGAGGGGAGATTTGGGAGTGGAAATGAGGGTGGGGAGGGGCTGGGGTGGAATTCCTGAGCAGCTCTGGCTGCCCCATCCCTGGAGATGCCCAAGGTTGGGGCTTGGAGCAGCTGGAAGGTGCCAGGGGTGGCTCTGGATGGGTTTTAAGATCTTTCCACCTTGATCCTGCCCTCCATCCCACCTGGATCTCACCCAGATCCTGCCTGGCTCCCTGCTGCCTCCCTCCTTTGTTCGTAATAAGCATCTCATTAGATATTCGCCGTTCCCAAATTAACATTTAATTCGTGCCTCATTCCCAGAAAAACCTGGGCACAGCCTCCTGGAATTGTTGACAGTGATCCTGTTCCTTTGTGAGCTCTGTCCCTATTAAGCAATTTCCTCGCCTGTGTCTTTTGAGTTACTAAGGGAACAGGAATAAAATCTTAATAAAACTCCATCAGCTGCTCCTGAAATAACAGCAGCCTCCTTCGAGGGGCTCTGCTCCAAATTCCCAGGAAATCCAGAGCACAGAGCCATGGCATGGGCTGGAAGGGCTCAAGCTTGTCCAATTCCACCCAATTCCACCCAATTCCACCCAATTCTCCCACCCTAGGCTGCTCCAGCCTGGCCTTGTTCCTTCCAGGGTCCAGCAGCTCTGGGAACCTCCAGTGATGAAAAGGCAACACATCCCAAAAGGGAAGAAATCCTTTATTTTCAGGATAAATAATATATAAATGACAGAAAGATATAGTATGTATTATTAATATATAAATTAATAATACCAGGGTTAGCAATTAGCAGGAATTTCTCTCTTTTCTCCTGACTGTGCCTGATCCTCCCTGGATTTGGGACCTGAGCCTGTCGGGCATCTCCAGGATTTATTGCTGAGCACCACAAAGGGGAATTTTAAAACCCAACATGTCCACGGGGAAGCATAAAGGGAGGTTTAGGCTGGCGTTAGGAAATTGGAGGAATTCCTCCATGGAAAGGGGTGGAATCCCCATTCCCGGGGGGATTTAGGATCTTGCGGATGTGGCACCTGGGGACGGGTCAGTGGTGGCCTTGGGATTGCTCTGCCTTGCCCTTCCCCATGGATATTGGGTATTGGATATTGAATATTGAGTATTGGATATTGGGTATTGGATATTGGGTATTGGACATTGGGTATTGGATATTAGATATTGGATATTGGGTATTGGATATTTATTGGATACTGGATATTGAATATTGGATATTGGATATTGGGTATTGGGTATTGAATATTGGGTATTGGGTATTGGATTTTGGATACTGGGTTTTGGATTTTGGATATTGGGTATTGGGTATTGGATATTGGATATTGGATATCGCTGTCAGGGAGGGCAGGGGATGCTCCTGAGCTCTCCCAAGGAGATTCTGGGGTTTTTTCCCTGGAGCCTGAATTTTCTGGAGCCTGAATTCAGGCTGCAGGATGCTGCAAGAGGATTTTTGGGTGGATATTCCAGGGGGGATGGTGTGGATACTCCAGGGATATTGGTGTGATGTTGCAGGGATGCTGGTGTGGATGTTCCAGGGATATTTATGTGGGTATTCCATGGATATTGATGTGGATGTTGCAGGGATGATGGTGTGGATGTTCCAGGGATATTTATGTGGGTATTCCATGGATATTGATGTGGATGTTGCAGGGATGATGGTGTGGATGTTCCAGGGATATTTATGTGGGTATTCCATGGATATTGATGTGGATGTTGCAGGGATGCTGGTGTGGATGTTCTCCTGAGGGGGTGGTGTCAATGTTCTCCCAGGGAGGATGACGTGGATGTTTTCCCAGGGAGGTTGTCATGGATGTTCTCCCAGGAATGTTGGTGTGGATATTGCAGGGATATAGATGTGGATATTCCAGGGAGGTTGATGTGAATATTCCAGAGACTTTGGTGTGGATATTCCAGGGAGGTTGATGTGGATATTCCAGGGAGGTTGATGTGGATATTCCAGGGAGGTTGATGTGGATATTCCATGGATATTGATGTGGATATTCCAGGGAGGTTGGTGTGGATATTCCAGGGAGGTTGATGTGGATATTCCATGGATATTGATGTGGATATTCCAGGGACTTTGGTGTGGGAGATTTGGGAGTGGAAATGAGGATATTCCAGGGAGGTTGGTGTGGATATTCCAGGGAGGTTGCTGTGGATATTCCAGGGAGCTGCAGCGGTGTCCCGGGATGTGCTGCTGTGCTCCCCGCAGTGGCCACAGCCCTTTTAACCCTGTCCCTGTTCTCTCTGTCCCTCCCAAAGCCCCGCAGAGCCGGAGCCCAGCGCGCTGACGGGGCTGTGTGGGCACAGCCTGGCCCTGCTCCTGTCCCCACGCGGCTGCAGCCAGGTGGGTGCCCCATTCCCTCGGGAACCTGCTCCAAACCCGGGGAAGCAGCAGCTGGACACGAGTCCCCAGCAGGAATGAGCCCCCCTGTCCTTGCTGAGCCCATCCTGGGGCAGCTCCAGGCCCCCCTGAGCAGCCCCTGTGTCCTTTTTGGTGGGGATCCCCTGGGATTTGGGCTTCCAAGGGGTCCCTCAGCACCAGCCTGGGCCTCTCCAGGGATTGCTGGGGATTCATGGTCAGAGGAGCAGCCTGGAGCTGCCCACCCCTGCCTTGAGCCCTCACGAGCTCCTTCCTGAGCTTGCCAGGAAATCCAGAACTCCCCGAGCAGCTCCCTGGGCCTGTTGCTGTATCCCAGGGCTGGTTCCTCCTCCCCAGCCATCCCCACATCCCATTCCTTCTCCTTCACCATCTGTTTTTCCATGTCCAACTCCTCCTCCCTCACCATCCCTGCTTCCCCCACACCCAATTCTTCCTCCTTCACCATCTCTTCTTCCCCCACACCCAATTTCTCCTCCCTCACCATCCCTGCTTCCCCCACACCCAATTCCTCCTCCTTCACCATCTCTTCATCCCCCACACCCAATTCCCCTCCCTCACCATCCCTGCTTCCCCCACACCCAATTCCCCTCCCTCACCACCTCTCCATGCCCGTACCCCATCCCTGCTCCCTCACGGCCTCTGTTTTCCCCCCAGGAGTTCTGGGCTCGCCCAGGAGCCCATCCCGAGGGGTTGCCCATGGAATAGGCGCTTTTCCAGGCGCCTGGGCACAGCGGGAGGCTGAAGTTGGCTGCCCCGGGGCACCCGAGCTCGCCGTGCCCTGGAGCCCCCGGCCTCTGCCATGAATGATGCATCCACCATGGATTATGAACTGCTCTCGCCGTCCCTGGTGGAGCACCCCGCCGGCGCCGCGGGCATGGATGCCGAGCAGAAAACTGTCTTTGCCTTCGTCATCTTCCTCCTGGTGTTCTTGGTGATGCTGATGGTGCGCTGCTTCCGCATCCTGCTGGACCCCTACAGCCGCATGCCCGCCTCCTCCTGGACGGACCACAAGGAGGGCTTGGAGAGGGGCCAGTTCGACTACGCCCTGGTGTGAGGGGAGCCCGGGTGGGCCCGGGTCCCCTCCCCGCGCTGGCCCCGGCCCCGGCTCCCCCTCGCCCCGCGGTGTTCCCCGCAGGGATGCTCCGGGCAGGGGGGCGAGGCGGGGGCTCCGGCCCCGGGGAGGTTTTCTAGGGGTTTCTCTCTTTTCTAAGCACTTTTCAGCTCTCTTGGCAGCCCGCGGGACGCTGGGGGACGCTGGGGGCTGGAGGGGGCTCGGGCTCGGCGCGGGCCCCGCTGCCCCTCGTGCCCCCGGGCACGGCGGAGGGGACGGGACGGGGCATGGCGGGACCTGCCCTCGGCCCGCGGGGCCCCTGCGCTGGGCTCTGCCCGGTGCCAGGCCCGAGCTTCGACCCCTCCTGCCCCCCCCGTGCCCCCCGGCAGTGCCCCCGTGGTCCAGTGCGTGTCTGTGTGTCCTGTAGCTGAGCTGTGTCCGTCAGGGGTTTCTCGGCACCGGCCCCCAGTGCTGGCTTTGTTCCTCGTCTGTGCCACTCCCCAGCCCCCCAAACGGGAGGGGAGGGTGGAGACCCCCCCGTGCAGCCCCCCTGTCCCTGCCCAGCTGGTGACAATGCAGCCAGGGGCGGTCCTGGGGACACCAGGACGGGTCAGGGGTCCCCAAAACACCCGGGGGAGGCTCCTGGGCCAGCACGGCCCTGGCAGCTGCCCCGAGCATCCCTGCTGGGGTGCCCGGCCCTTCCCTGGCTCTCCGGGGCTCTGGAAGTGCCGGGGGGCGAGCGGGGGGCTGCAGGTGTCCCCGGGGCTGCCAGAGGCCATGCTGGGCTCCTGCCAAGGGATTTGGGGCTGGGGAGGGGGAGAAGCTCGCCCCCCCTCCATGGAAATAAAGCAGCACCGTGCCGACCCCAGCCGGCTCCTGCTCGCTCTGTGACGCGTCCGGGGGGGGAACAGACCCTCCCCAAGTCCTGGGGACCCAGCCCGGCCACCTCCTGTCCCGGCACGGTCCAGCACAGATTCCCTCGCACGCACGGAGCTGTCCCAGGACATTTTCCGGCTGGCCGAGCTCCTGTTTGCCCCTGCCCGGTGCTGTCGCACAGATTCCCTCGCACGCACGGAACTGTCCCAGGACATTTTCCGGCTGGCCGAGCTCCTGTTTGCCCCTGCCTGGTGCTGTCCCCTCTCCCCCGGTTCTGTCCCCCCTGCCCGGTTCTGTCCCCTCTCCCTGCCCGGTTCTGTCCCCTCATTCCCGGTGCTGTCCCCTCTCTCCCGGTCCTGTCCCCTCATTCCCGGTGCTGTCCCCTCTCTCCCGGTTCTGTCCCCTCTCTCCCGGTTCTGTCCCCTCATTCCCGGTGCTGTCCCCTCTCCCCCGGTGCTGTCCCCTCTCTCCGGTTCTGTCCCCTCTCCCGGTGCTGTCCCCTCTCTCCCTGTTCTGTCCCCTGCCCGGTTCTGTCCCCTCTCCCGGTTCTGTCCCCTCATTCCCGGTTCTGTCCCCTCTCCCTGTCCCGGTTCTGTCCCCTCTCTCCCGGTTCTGTCCCCTCTCTCCGGTTCTGTCCCCCCTGCCCGGTGCTGTCCCCTCTTCCTCCCTCCCGGTGCCGCAGTCCCGCCCGCCCTCTGCTGGCACCGGGCTCCGTCTGCTTCCAAGATCCGGGAACATCAGCCTGGAGGGAGCGTCCGGGCCGGACCGCACCGGCCCCAGCCCTGCCAGGCGCCCCCGGTGCCAGCCCTGCCATGCCAGGGTCCCCTCCCGGTGCCCCAGCCTGGCCTGGGCACTGCCAGCCCCAGCGGCTCTGGAATTCCAGCCCAGCCTGGAATTCCCTCCCAATCCCCACCCAAATTCCCCCATTCCCCGTGTCCTGTCCCTCCATCCCTGTCCCCAGCTCTCCTGGAGCCCCTCCAGGCTCTGAGCTCCCCCCGGAGCCTTCTCCAGGCTGGGCAATCCCGGTTCTGTCTCCAAGGAAGCTCCAGGATGGAGCTGGATGGGCCCAGCCTGTGCCCACACAAAGACACAGCCCCACTTAACCCAAAATAATTTTATTGTTGCCGTTGCTTCTGATACAAAAAAGGAATTCCACAAAGAGCCACCTCTCTGTGCGGGACAAGGGGCACAGGTTTGGGGTTTCAACACTTCCCCCCCAAAAAACCAACCAGCAAGAAATGTCAATATAAAACAAATTAAAAAATAAAATAATAATAAAAAAAAACAAAACAAAAAAACAAAAACAAAAAGAAAAACCCAGAAAACAAACCAAAACACCACACCAGAGAGGAGGAGAGGAAACTGAGCTTTGGGACTTTGGCTCAACACACGCACACAAACCCAGCTCTGCTAATTTATTATTATTATTACCCATCCTGTCACAAGCTCAGGGACTCTTGTAAAATCCAGAGTCTGGAGCTGCTTTGAAGAGTTTTCAAGTTTGCCTGGAGCCCCGATACAGTAAACACACACATCCCCCACCCCAGAGGAATTCCCACCCCTCCAAAAACATGGAAAGCTACAGGAAAATGCACTCCTGACAGCACCGAGCCAGCATTCCTTTGGTGGTTTGCCATAAATATGGGAGGGTGGATGGATACAGTGCAGAACGCTGGCCAGGAACCAGCACCCAGGAGGCAGCTCCGCGGGAACGAGCACCTTTATCCCGGGAATGAGCACGTTTTATCCCGGGAATGAGCACCTTTATCCCGGGAATGGGCACCTTTATCCCGGGAATGAGCACCTTTTATCCCAGGAATGGGCATTTTTTGTCCTGGGAAAGAGCATCTTTATCCCGGGAATGGACACTTTTTGTCCTGGGAATGAGCATCTTTTACCCCAGGAATGAGCACCTTTATCCCAGGAATGAGCACCTTTATCCCGGGAATTGGCATCTTTTATCCCAGGAATGGGCATTTTTTGTCCTGGGAAAGAGCATCTTTATCCCGGGAATGGACACTTTTTGTCCTGGGAATGAGCATCTTTTACCCCAGGAATGAGCACCATTTATCCCGGGAACGAGCACTTTTATCCCGGGAATGAGCATCTTTATCCCATGAATGAGCATCTTTTATCCTGGGAATGAACACCTTTTTTTCCCGGGAGTGAGCACCATTTATACCAGGAATGGGCACTTTTTGTCCCGGGAATGAGCACCTTTATCCCGGGAATGAGCCAGGGCTGGTGGAGAGCTGCAAAGGATTCACCCAGGGAATGGCCCCGCAGGGATCAGCTGGGAGAGGCAGGAGGGGCTGCAGAGACCCCCAGAGCAGAGCATCGTCCCCAGAGGTGCTGACCCCACTGGGATATTCCCCGTGGCTGATCCCAGGACATTCCCGTGGCTGATCCCAGGACATTCCCGTGGCTGATCCCAGGACATTCCCCATGCTGGGTGCTCATCCCAGGACATTCCCCATGCCTGGGTGCTGATCCCAGGACATTCCCCATGGCTGGATGCTCATCCCAGGACACTCCCCGCGCTGTCCCAGCGCTGGCGGTGGCGGTGGCAGGAGAGGAGCCCGTTGCTGGCGGGGCGGGTGGCGAGGGGCAGGGCTGCGCTGTCGGGTGGGACTGGGGGGGTCTCTGGTGGCTTTAGTAGAGCTGGAGCTGCAGCTTCATCCTCAGCGCCTGGCCCAGCTCCCCCGCCAAGTAGTCGAGGTGGTTGCTGGCCTCGAGTTTGTGCAGTTCCCGCCGGCGGGGCAGGGCCACGCTGACGATCTCCAGCAGGTAGGTGCCCGGCAGGATTTTCTTGCGGCCCAGGTGCAGGAAGCTGAGCCCCTCCTTGTGGTGGATGCGGAAGAGCCCCTCCTCGTTGCCCTGGGCGATGGCGTAGCGCACGCGGTTCTCCAGCGGCTCCAGGGCCGGCAGCAGCTCCAGGATGTGCTCCTTGTGCGCCAGCTCCGACAGGTTCAGGGTCATGGACAGCGGCGCCTCCACGTCCATGCTGGCCAGGTTCACGGGCTGCTCCTGCTGGGGAAAGGGATTCAGGGGTCACCCGAGGGATTCAGGGGTCACCCGAGGGATTCAGGTGTCACCCAAGGGATTCAGGGGTCACCCGAGGGATTCAGGGATCACCCGAGGGATTCAGGGGTCACCCAAGGGATGCAGGGGTCACCCGAGGGATTCAGGGGACAGCCAAAGGCGGTGCAGAGACCCCATCGTCAGCAGGTGTGAAAAGACTCTTTGTTGTTAGAAACCTACAGTTCTTGTAGAAATCTTATACAGTTATAGAAATCTCATACAGTTCTTGTCGAAATCTTATACAGTTCTTGTAGAAATCTCACAGTTGTTATAGAAATCTCATATAGTTCTTGTAGAAATCTTATACAGTTCTTGTAGAAATCTTATACAGTTCTTACAGAAACAGTGGTGGAATTAAGACCTGATTGGCCCTTAGGAATCCTTTTTCACACTATGGGTGACCTATGAGTAGTACACTCCAAAGAACTAGATCTATAAACAGATAACTATATCTATCTATATATATATATAACTAACATAGAACTATATCTATAAACAGATTAACTACATCTATATCTATATATACATAACTAATAGAGAGCTATATCTATAAACATATGAACTATATCTATCTATCATCTATCTATCTATCTATCTATCTATCTATCTATCTATCTAACTGTATCTACAAACTATATCTATCTGGTTACAGAGAGAGATAATAATTGCTGGAATTCTTTAGTCTAAGTTTCTCCCAGCTTCCCAGGATTTTCCTGGGAGAACCTTGTCTCTCTCTGTTGAGAGGATATGTAATTACCACATTCAGGGAGGGCTCAGGGGCAGGAAAAGATGGGTTTGGTTTTGGGAAATTCAGCCCTAAATCAGCTTTGGAAGTGACAGCTTTGGGTTTCTTGGTGTGCTGGTTGTGCCTGTGGCACTGAACTCCCAGCACACACTTCCCACCCCCAGGGAGGATCAGTAACTTCAGGACCATTCTCCTTCCAAGCCCTAAAACGACCTCTCCTGCCCAGAGCTGTGAAATTCCCGGGACAGCTTTGGACAGAGGCCTGAACTCCCTCTGAGGAACAGCACCATGGAGAGGTTTGGGCTGAAAAGGACCTTAAAAAGTCTTGTTCTAGCCCCAAGGGACACCTCCCACTATCCCAGGTTGCTCCAAGCCCTGCCCAGCCTGGCCTTGGAGAATTCCAGGGCTGGGAAACGTGGGCTTTATTCCTTGGTTTCACAAGAAGGGCTTGGGGAGGCCAAAGCTGGGCAGATACGGATGAGCTGCTGGCTCTGCCTGGACTGAGGGAATGGCATCCACTCCAGTTCTGTGTTCCTGAGGGGATGCAGCTCCTGCCTGGCTCCAGCCCCTCCAGGATGCCCTGCATTTCTCACCTGGTGCCCCTCTGTGCCGTTGACGCTGCGCCGCTGCCGGCCCCTCTTGGGGTACCCGTTGATCTTGCACTCGTAGCAGGTCTCGGGGGACAGCAGGTTGTCCTCATCCTCCTCCTGGGGCGCAGGCAGGTAGGGACCCTTCCCAAATCCCAAGCCAGAAATGCAGTGGCTGTGGCAGAGGAGCAGAGGGGAGCCATGAATGCAATGGAAATGCCACCACTGCTGGGTTGTCGTGTGGGAAACACCCAGAGGGTCACGTGTGGCTGTGACAGGGGATGTGCCCAAGAGAGACCACAACAAGGTGGCTTCATTAATTAACAGATTAATGAATGCACTGGGTGTATCCACAGAGAACCTACTGGCATCAAGCACATGGGGCAGGAGACGCGCTGGCACGAGGCACGGGCTGAACGAGGAGAAGCTGAGGGCTCCTTGTCCCACATCCCCCCACAATTCCCAGCTGGGGACGCCCCTCTGGCCCTCCTTCTCGGGGGACAGCAGGTTGTCCTCATCCTCCTCCTGGGGCGCAGGCAGGTAGGGACCCTTCCCAAATCCCAAGCCAGAAATGCAGTG